AAATCGGTGTGGTAAAGAGATGAAAAACGAAAAATTAACGATTATCGAAGGCTGATATGAAACTCGAGTGCCAAACACACAAATTACGATACGAACATATTCATGGACGAGCGAAAGCAGCACTTGACATCGTTCCTTTAAAGATACGTACAACGCGACCATCAAAAGTTTCAAGCTAAAAGAATCAACGGCTGAAATTTCGATTACTCCGTCTGCAGGAATTCCGACAAAGATCTACAGATCACCTGTTACGTTTCTTTCGAAGCAAATTCTTACATTGAATGTCTTTCGTTCTATCGAATGTGTCAGTTCTTAAGATCGTAATAATCGGAAATGGCTTAGTATTTCTATTTTCACTCTTGTGTGTGCACGAGCTCGCCCTGTCCGAGGGTTAACGAGTCAATCAACTTGGCAATACTCGTGATTAATACAGTATCACGTCGTATCAATTATACACAATAATCTCCTGCAATATAGTGCATGTCAAAGCATATCCATCACAGGCATACAGGCATACGTATCAGTAGCAGCTGAATGAAATATATTTTTGACCCAGTTGGAAAGACAAGTCGCCGGGAACGCGTGTACCAAAGGATCGAATCAACTGGATCCCTGTGTTGTTCGTGACGCTGTGTTGCCTCGCTCGTGCTCCTGTGGCGCGGTGTTAATTTTGGACTGTACTCGATCACACATCCTCGTCAAAGGAGGAGAGATTGGGATCAACGATAGAGCTTTGCATGCGCCGACCTACTGCCGCTGCACAGTTTGCAGCGTGTCGTGTATCTCCGAAAGCTGTTCGTTAATCGACGTGATCACGCCGTGCCGCCGATGTAAACTCGTACAATTAGTTGAGACTCCGAGATAAGCGAATTCATGTGAACCACGGCACCTCTCTCTCTCCCTTTCTCTCTCTTTTCATTTTTCTAGTCAGATCTCAGAACGACCAACCCTCGAACGCTTTGCCGGCTTACCCTCGAACGCGCGTAACGAACACTTTCACCACGGTTTCGTTGTCTATCCCGATCTCCTTTTCGTTCGAATTTCCACTTCACTTTTCAATGGAAGGAATTCGAACACCGTAAGAATACTTGCGAACGCGAAAATTTGCGAGTGGTTGCATCTGAAACGTTTGACAATTTTATTAACATTCGATGAGCGAGATACGTTCATTCGAAATATTTACGTTGATATTTCGAAGTATAGGCGCATTAAGGTAACGGGCACTTTCATTATGTTGGCTGTAATGTGGCGAATAATTATAGATGGAAAATTTTCTTCTCTTTACGCTGATCATGTTTACTTTGTTAACTCGACAGAAAATAAAAACAGATAGGAAACGGTAGTTGGACGTAAAGATGGTATAAAAAAACAGGGTGAGACAAAATGGCCATAAAATAGGGACGTGAAATTTATAATGACGCGAGAACGAGAAATATATCACAGAAGTATGTTTGTTTCAGAAACGTCTCCCCTTTTCGATGAATTTTCATCTTATATCTGACAATGTCCATTGTATACGTGTGAAACAGATACGCGAAGCAAAACTACGTGTTTTATCTCTCGTCCTCGATTTTCTATTTAATTAATTAATACGTTCATTATACGAAATATAAATTATTCAATAGGTACTCCCCTCAGCGTTTATATCCGTAAATATGCGTACAATTTGTTCCTGTTGAATGTAAATTTGGTAAACGTTCATGAAATTTCATATTGCGTTCAGGAAATTCTTTTCTTGCATCTTATGTTTCCTTCCGTATGGCTGGAGCAGCAGTTCACCTCGCATGACACGGTTCGTTTCGCTGAGATCAAAAGACTGAAACGTACAAAACAAATTCGTGCTGGAATTTTATTGCAATTCTCGCAAATATTTGTTGTGTCGCTCGTCAATAACGCGTTCGTTAAAAACGAGTTAATTGAAATTCTGCTTCTCATTTTCCATTTACCATGACGTAAATTTCATGGTAAATTTCACTCTTCTCAAGTCTGCAAGAAACAAACTTTATTAGAATATCGTCTATAATTATTACTTTTTTTTTTTTTAATTTTCGAAACGACGTGTCGCAGAATTATCCAGTTAAACTATTCAGATTGCTTTCGACTCGTCGAGAGCGAACCCGATTCTCAATTATTCTCAACGCGAACACGTGTCCGATGAATGCACGGTATTCGCGGGACTGTCTCGATGCGGATTCGGTTGCAAGACGAAGACGAGCACCGGAGATTTTTCGCCCCGGGGGTAAGAAGGGACTTAGTCCGTGGATATCTGTTTGAATGAAGGTAATATCAGAGAGAGGTTTTTGATAGGCGTTCTGAGAGAGTGACCGGAGAGCGCGCAGGTAAAGACAGGGTTTCAGAATGGCGTCGCGACGTCGGAAGCTGAAATGGATGAACGAGTCGAGGGGCGGTCAACGTGAGAATGACCACGTGAAAAGAGAGAGGAAAGAAAGAAGGGGGAAATGGTCGGAGACCCTCATCATCCTCCGCTAATATTTACTTACGCATATGCAAAGACCAGCGTCGTTGCCAAAAAGAACTATCTCGTTGGTAGGTATTCTTTGATAAAGATGGCCGGAACTATGAACGTCGCATTCAGTGACCGCGCCTAACCCCGTTTAATACACCTCTGGGTATCAGCCCGCTATCACGATGCACTTTTATATGTATATGAGGAAAAAGGGGATCAATTAATAATACAAGATAACGTTATAGATACGCGTTGACATTGCTCGGTGAACGAGAGTATAACGGTGTTATCGTGAAATTGATCTCGAAAAGGAATTTGCGAGATTAGACGTCACTAGGTAATTAATTCGTATGCTGTTACCAAGAATAATTTGTAACGTACGATGTGGATAGTTTGTTAAACGCGCGTGTCAGATCTTTATGTATCTATCTTGAAATTTCTCTGAGTTCTCTAGCTTCCATAGAAACTTTATCTGAATCGTTAAACTGATATAGAAAATAATATATGTATTTATGAGAAATACAAAGACCCCTTTCTTTTCTTAGAATAAAATAGTCATATTTTAAAGTAATACTTGACTGTTTCGAATTGCACGACAAGTAGCCTATATAATTTAATTTAATTAATCACTAATGACGAAGAGAATAAATGTAATGCCATTATACGAGATTCAGGCGGCTCAAGTCTTTTGTGTCTGACTACGCGCGACAAGGACTACTTACAATTCACATGCACGTTATCTCGTTCCAATCTCTCATGTTCTAGCCGCTATTGGAAAAATTATTATTTCAGATATAATATTTCCTCGAGTCTCGAGTGTGAAGTAATTGCACTCTAAGAACCTAACAATGGATATTCCGTATTTGTAAATACGGTTGTCTGACACTCACATTGTCCGCACAAGTTCATCCCACGGCCACATTCCATTCAGTTCCAGCGAAGAACGTCTTTTGTTCGTTCGAGGCAAATTTTGAATAACCCTAAACTCTTGAATAACACTTCGATGCTTGAATGATACTTACGTACGTGCTCGAGTCAATGAATCTGTTTCGAAGTAGTAGATCGTGTCTCTCGTTAGTGTGATTCCATTTGAAGCGAAGTGAAAGTCATGAAGTTTTGGAGAAGACAGTGCTAGCCGATATGCCAGGAAATATTCTGAATTGAGAAAAATCGAAGATGTATTGAAGCAATGATAGAAATTTCATTGTAACGTATAAATATTGTCTAAATATTTTTATTATTCGTGTGCTTTATTTATTATATCTGATCGTTCCACTTTAATATGAAATTGACATTATGTGCATCAACATTATGCCAATAATGTAAGAAACGAAATGTATGGCACAAGAGAGACCATTTGGATTTGGACCTGTGTAAGTGAAAATGAATTTAGAATTAAATTTCCTTTACGTTAACTTGTGATGTGACAAAATTTCTAACGTTAATTCTTTGAAATTTAATCAAAATATACTTAATTTTTTATTACATAGGAATCTTGAATTAATTTTTGTCAAAGCTTTCCTTCTTCGAAAAGTTGATCTTGTTCACCTATTTTATCCATTACCTTCGAATTGAAGAGTAACTTGATCGATTACTTTCTGTTTTCTTTCCTGCAACGCTGTAATTGTGTTAGTTCCTTCTTCTTCTGTAATCGAATCAATAAACCTCATCTTTCGTTTGATTTTCTTTCCGAAAGTTCAGTCGCACGTATCATGCAATACTACGTACTATGAATTTATATTACAAAACAAGCTTAAAAATTCATTGTTATTAAACGAAATCAACAAGTTTCAATCTCTCAGTTTGCAGGAAAATTAAAAATTTATTATCATCGTAGATAGCTTCAAGTCCTTACGTACCTACGTATGGTTACTCATGAGCCTTTCTAATCGATTCAGCTTCGTTATGTACCTCGTCTGTGGTTTCTTTTGCAATATTATCTGCTTGCGAATACAAACACAGGCGAGGTGCCTTCGCTTCGTATCGATCGAGTTGTTATGAGAACGTACTTCTCGCGTTCGCCGCAATAAATTGCAGAGGGCGTAAGTAGCCGTTGAATTGTAGGTACGATGATCGATAATAAATAAAGTCACCGTACTACGTAAAGGAAAATTTTATAATTTATTTTAACGTTTACATGATACAGAATTTAATGGATGAATTAAAACTGACGACTATTTATTAATTTCTTATTTACTATTATATATATTCTCGGCAATTTGTTTGTAACATGGTAACCAATAATTTGTTGGTATCTCAATGGTAACTTTTTATAATATTGAATAGATGTCGCTACAGAATTACACGCGTCAGGTCTATCTTATCGTTCGTCGAGTTAGTTGAAACGTCTCGACTTTATCCACGGATAGTAGCTAATTTCATCGAGATGAACTTTCAAACTAACCTAACACCACATTTTCAAAATTAACCAAAAACGTAACATCTCTAAAATGTAGTTGCGATAACGTTCAGTCGCAGTGTAACAGTATCCTATAATGAACATGGCGATGCAATATAAACTTCGGCAATAAACATGGCAACCAGGCCGAAACCACAGAAACTACACAGAAAACCAAGGAAACGAAAGGTACCGTATGTCGATCCCGTTCTCGAAGAGGAAAGAGCCAAAAGAGTCGCGGTGGTGCAAGCGAAAAGACAAAAGGTAATAGACAGGATCAGGCTTTCATTGGAAAATAGGAGGAAGGACAAGATATTCATAGAAAATGCACGTTTCGATAAAGAAGAGAGGGACAGACGGAAAGCGATTAGGGATGGCCGGAAAACGGGGAGCGAGAAGATTATGTTACAGGTTTCGAGCTTGTTAAATGGTGACTTCAACGACGGCAAAACTCACGTTTAACAGAACGTTGAATTTACATTTCGCCGCAGATTCGCAACGACTTGAGCCAAATTATCGAGACTGGTATCAGGTGCGTGTACACGTCGGTGATAATACCGGAGAAGATCAAGTACGACGGTCGATCAATTTTGTCGATAAAAGGCGTCAAGTACAGGCTGCAACATAATTTGCATATCGTTGGCTGGGGAAAGGAGGCAGTGACGATGAGCTCGGCGTTCGAGCGAATCGTCGGCAAACAGTTGAGGAAAGGTTGGCTGGTGGTGCCACGTAAATCCATTTTCATGATGTGGAGCTTTCCAGAGGCATTCCCACCCTTGGACAGTCGTATCTCGTACGTTGAAGCCGGGGCCGATGGACACGCGGACGAAAAGTCCGTGATAGCCACTAGAAGGATCGTAAATTATTGTAAAAGATTGAAGAAAAGGGATTTGCTGATCGTGATGCTCTCGCAAGGAATTGATGACCTTCTTTGTCTCCCACGAGACACTATTACATTGAGGGATAAGCTCCGTGTGTTGAATAGGTTGAAAGCTGCGAAAGCCACTCCGGAAGAGATAAATACCGTGAGAAATAAGCTTTCCGCGATTAGAGGTATCTATCCTTCTTGATCACGTTAGGCGATTAGGATTAAATATCCATGTAAAAAAAAAACTTTCTGATTTTAGATATTTAGAATGTAAGCATTAGCACTATACAGGCCGGCACCGCCATTTGTTTAAATATATAGTGGTTTGCAGCCGATAGGTGATGTTTAAAATACATTAATATTATACATTATCGATATTGATAATTCTGTTTATAATTCACATTATAATGAAGGTTTTTAAACAGGTAACAAGAAAGTAGAATGTTTACATTTTTCATTTTATTTTGTATATGAAATAATATTGCACTATGCATCGTCAAAAACTTGAACTTTCATAAACCTGTTTGGCGTCATAAAAGGGGATGTTTATTGCAACATTTTAAAAGAAATGTGGTATTTGTTCGTGATCATCTCAAGTATCTTTTCTGACACTAAAATACAGTATATTTTACTACTTTACTTTACTTTATTTTCCGGGGATACGAGGGGTACCTTACAATATTTAAGTATGTTTAAGGTAATGTTTTGAATCTTACCACGCGAAAGAAAAATACTTGTACATTTAATAATATTATTTTCTCATTATTTATTCTAATTTTTTTAGTATACAAGTCTCTAAAACCCTTTCATAATAATATAATAAAGTCGCTCGAATTTCTATCCTCGTTCTACGCTACTTTCACAAAAAAGTGTCGGCCTGATTGTGCGAAATATTAGCTTCTACAGTGTTAAATGCCTAAAAAAAAAAGAAAAAAAGTACAGAGAAAGACTTTCAATGCAGGAGGCGATCTAGCCCGAATCGCTTACCCCGCAAGAGTCGTAACTTTAATCACGTCGGACGTTTCCGCGGAGCCGAAGTCCCAGCTATCAGGCGGGCCGTGCGTGTACGATCCAAAAGGCGAGAAAGCTCTCGCGATACTAACGAAATACGGACTGCTGAACAGAGTGTCCTTGAGCGTGCGAGAGCTAGTGGAAGAGACAATTCCGTGGACGATGGCTGCCGACAAGCAGCTGGACGCGAATAAAAAGTACAAGTTCGTTCACGAGTACGTGATCGCCTGTAACGCGGACGCGATGGAGTGCATGGCCGTGGAATCGTACAAGCTGGGCATGTTCCCGGTGAAATTGAATTCAATCTGTTCCGGGGATATCCAAGAGTTTGCTCGTGAATACGTTAAAATGACCTCGTTGATGATTCTGGCCGTCGAGGGGAAGGTCGATAAACTGGAGATGTTTCAGGAAATGAAAGACAGCCCCGTCTGCCCTCTGACCGACGAAAAGGTCCAGGAGATATTCCCCGCGAAAGAACACTGGGGCTTGGGATTGTGTCTTCTGTTGGGTGGACGACCAACCGTGAACCTTTGCGACGAACCCGGACAAGGTGGACCTAACCAAGAACTGGCGCTATACTTTTCACTGTATTGGTACCTGCGTACGCAGCAGTATCCGATTTTAAGAGAGTACACCGTTTGGTTTTTGGGTGGTAGCTCTTACGGGAAAGACGGCAACACTCCAGCAGCTGGTGCCTACGGCTATAAAAGCTTGAGCACCGATGTTTATCCGGAGTTTGACAAAGCGAAAAGTGCGTTCAATGCCGCGTACGCCAAGTGGTGGAAACTTAACGAGGAGAGACGCTTCAGAAGTAAAATAGCGGTAAATTTTTTATTATAACACCCGTAGTTTAAAAGTAGCGAATTTTTTAATCAATTCTTGACTGTAATAATCGATTAATCGATTAAATACGATTTAAGATCAATGTCTGTATGACACCACGTAATGTGCTGTATGTTTAAAAACACGTAGGACGCCTACAGAGAAATGCAAGAGTTCAAGAGCATAAGAAACAAGTACGTCGATATTCTACCTGAACGTGTTTTAGCCGAAAACAACACGAATCTGTTGTTCTCGAGCATCAACGACGAAGACGAATTGCTGGAACTGAAAACTGGGAATTATTATACGTTTACGAACGTCGGGGATCTTCACGTCATACGAATTGTCCGCTTTCAATGTAACTGCGATGGAGTTTGTCACGGGCATCAAGAGAAGGTTTGCACTGATGTCGAATGCCCGGTTCATCAATCGTTATCAGCAGAGGCCCATTCGAAGCTTCAATATTGCTGTCGCATTGGCGCGCGAAAGGATTGACTTCTTGCAAAAGTTTCTCATCACGCGTA